GATCCTAAACAGAAGATATTGCTCACTTCTGATATTTCACTTGTCTTAGATTTTTCATATTTTTATTGTCTCTGAAAGGGTATTTGGAGGCAACTTTCAGTAAACAACTCAAAGGTAGTTCCCTAGTCTAGAGGTTTACTATATTAAATATACAATATATTGTATGATTTGTATTTCTTTCGATGTGTATGATAGCATACTCAAACTCACCACCACAAGGAGAAAATGGAAATTTTTATGGGGATGAACACTCAAGAATTCTGCAGTTAAGAATTAACTGGGGATGTTTCATTCTCTATTTTGAAAGGTTTATTGCTTTAGTCGGAAGTTTTCATCAGGAAATACCATATTTTCTTTCTATATTTAGCTGAGATATAATTTTGTGGGCTTACTTGGAAATCACTTGTTTTCCAGAAAACATATATAGTGAACTATTTATGATGTCTAAGGCTCTAGGATTGGGTTTAAAAAACAAAGCGATCTCTGTGCACGAGACTGCTTATTTCTCTGTGAATTTCATCTTTCCTATAATGAACTATTTTATTAGCTAGCCCAGCCATCAAGATATTGTTCTCACTAATAGAGAATGTCATGTCCGAATACTTTTGAACGGATTTCTTTCAAAAGACAGTGAAGCTAAAATAATAGCAGATGGCTAGCATAACACAACTGGAATTTGGCTGCAGCTTTGGGACTAGCGTGAACAAAAGCCAGAGCTCAGTGTAATATTTTTCATACTCTAAACTATGCATTATAAATCAGTGCCTCTCAGTAATTTAAAGAGACACACAAATGGCAGTGTTTTAGTTTTCCTAAAAGATTGCTAAAACATGATCGATTTTCAAATGTTCATGTTGAATTTGCTGCAGAATTTATAGTATTTTACTAAAATAAAATTTTAAAAAAATCATCTTTTTTTGGAAAGTACTAAAACTGTAATGCCTTGGAGGTTACTGCCCCAGGGAGCAGGCAATAGTTCAATGCTGGAAAAGAAAACAAAAGTCAGAGTTTTGGAAATTTGTCCTGGACTATAATTGTTCTGGTGGCCAGGGAAGCTTTTGCACAACTAAAACTTGTGCACCAGTTGTGCCTGTACCTTATGAAGTCAGACTTGGCCATGGTAGTCCACACTCTTGTTACATGCCGAATATAGTACTGCAACGCACTCTATGTGGGATTGCCTTTGAAGACTGTTCGGAAGCTTCAAGTGGTCCAAAGGGCGGCAGCCAGATTGCTCACCGGTGATGCATACAGGGAGCATACAACCCCTATGTTGTGTCAGCTCCACTGGCTTCCAGTCTCCTACTGAGCACAATTCAGAGTGCTGGCTTTAGCCTAAAAAGCCCTAAATGGTTCCGGCCCAGCTTACCTGTCCGAATGTATCTCCCTCTATGATCCACCTTGGAGGCTAAGATCATCGGGAGAGACCCTGCTCTCGGCCCCACTCCCCTCTCAAGAGTGACTGTTGGGGACAAGAGACAGAGCCTTCTCAGAGGTGACCCCTTATCTATGGAACTCCCCAGTGAAATTAGATCAGTCCCTTACTGACTTTCAGAAAGAAATTAAGAACATGGCTTTGGGATCAAGCTTTTAGTTAGTAAATTGGAGCAGTGCAATAAGCGATTACAAAATAACATAATGATGACTTGGATCAGCCCTGAAGTATGACTTCGATTTTGTGATTTTAATTGTTGCTTTAATGTTTGATTTTTAATTGTTTTGAATGCTAATGCATTTGTTCATTTATCGATATGCATATGTGGTGTCAAATTGTTGCCCTTGTAAGGCCGCTCTGGGTCCCCTTCAGGGTAAAAAGCGCAGAGTACAAGTGTGGTACATAATAAATAAATATAATTCCCAGAAAAGCCACTGATTTCTGGGAGATTCTGGGACATCTAGTCCAAAAAGTAATGCTTCCTAACTCTGGCCATAATAATGTCCAGATGCCTTCTGCTTCTCTACAAGAGTGCCACAGATTCTATTGTGCTGAAATTTTGTCATCTTGATTTTTGGGATCTCCAGATAGTCATATATTGGTACAAGGTAATAAATGTAGTGAAAACAACTTAGGAAGAACTGTAGAGGGGAAGAAAATGAATAAAGATACCTAATGTGGACTCCAACTTACATAGAAGGGGACATGGTAAACATTTTTAATTGAGTATCGTTTCTCTGCCATCCTCCAAACACATTAAGGACAGAATCCTACAAAACTGGAGTAACAAATGTTATTATAGATATGAGTGAAAGTAGATATTTAATAGACTATTGCTGTAGCATATGTAAGTGAGACTGTCAGTGTTTTATTTTCCAATGACTATTGTGTGTTTTCAAATTTTCATTTGAAGTCCTATGTTCATGTAAAATGTTTAATTGAGTCTGAGGACTAATGACAGGTCTTTTAAAATCATGCTGAATCTTTGTACTGTCAACAGTAGCACTATTAGCACATTATTCCTGCTCTTTTCACATTTGCCATGTAGCTCTAAATCTGTAAATAAATTAGTAGAAATCTCAAAGTCCAAAATTCACAGTAGCTAATTGATAATTGGAATGAATAAAAAAGATATCCTCCATCAAATAATGTCTGAGTAATGATAAAAATTCTGTCAATGAAATCCTTTTAAATGTTTCCATTAAAAACACATGAAACCCAAAGTAAATGTTGCTATCAATGCATGCCTTTTGCTACTTTTGTATTAATGGAACCCAATCATTAATGCTCCCTGAACATTTAAACAGTAGTTAACTGAAAAACTAAGAATAAACAATTACAAAAGACAAATGTCACTGCTTACTAGTCATTTCTCAAATGAAGTAGGAGCTAATAGCCTACATTCTCAAGCAAGTGTAGCATGAAAGACACAATGGCATCTCCAAAAGGTCACTCAACTGTAGACTCCATCTTGTATAGAAGGGTGGATGTTAAGCCTATCTTATTGGGTTTAGCACATGTTTCTAGTTCTTTGCTTTTCTCTGCCTCCTCCAAACATATTAAGGCAGAATCCTACAAACCTGGAACGTGTATATGGGATGAAAAAGAGATATTTCCCAAATCTTGTTGCCACACAAATCCCAAATGCACCAACATCAGAATGAAGCCCAGATTAGATTTAATCCTAAATTTTGATAAATCCTGTAGTTTAATTCATGTTTGTACATTAGACTTGTGCAATCCGGGTAAACATTGACCCGTTTCCTGTCCTGCTTTCAGTGGGGAGCCCCAATCCGTTTTTTGGGAGCCTCCCAGAATCAGGAGGGCAGATATCTGTTTTCGCTCTGGGGTGCCAAAAGTTCCATTTTCTATCAGCCCATTATGGCTCCCCTTCCTGCCATTTTAGGCATTTCAGCTGTTTCTACTCTAAAGGAGAGGTGTCCAGCTGCAGCCAGATGCATGCATTTAAGGAGGCTTCTCTTATCTATTTCTCTATTCTAGAGGAGAGGCACTTGGCTGCAGACAGGCGCACGCGCTTTCTAGGCCTGAATGCCACACACACAGTCTTTCCAAGGCAAGGAGGCAAACTCTGTTCTTGCGCTAGAGGAGGCACTCAGCTGCAGGCAGGTGCTTGTGCTTTCTGGGTCTGCTCGATGGCAAGGAGGCTGTTCTAAAAAAGCAGGCAAGGAGCCAAGATCGGCTCTTGATTGCTTTCATGTCAAGCTGATTTTTGTACCGGAAGGAGGTTTCCCGTTACGTGTTCCCAAAGGTAATGAAAGTAACGAAAGAACATATGTAATGAAGGATCCATGTACAACTCTACTGTACATGCACCCAAGCTCACCAAATAATGTGTGGGGCCAACTAAAGGAATTGTAAAACAGTTCAGAATTGATTTGTAAATCTTGGCTTACACAAATTGCAGTTTTTCATTGTCAATAATTTATATTAATTAAAGTTTGCAGCATCTCTCCAATGTGCATCCCACCATATGCCTCTTAAATCCACTCTGGAAGGATGCCATAAATCTCTGGAGCACATCTGGTAAGCTGCAGGGGTGGGAAATGGGATCTAGCAGCATTATGCATTTTGTTGGAAGGATGCTATTGGATACAATTTTTAGAGAGTGAGTAGGAACTGGAGAAGAAAGGAAATGTTTTTTGCTCTGAGACATAAAAAAACTGAGCCAAAGAACTACATGAAGAACATTATTCATATTTTCCTGCCCCATTTCTTCAGTCAACCAGTGATAAAACTCATAATACAGGGACAGAAGTCCCTTGCTAGATCTAAGGGCCTTAATAATGCAAAGGGATATTGTGTTGGTAGTCAAAACCCTCTTATAGTGCCATGGCAACAGGGATGTTGGGAGGGGACAGGCTGACTACCCATGAAAGATTACTACAACCATATCAGTTTTATATGATTACCATAAATATAGTTTTCTCTAGGCAAGCAGATGGTGACTACTAGGTGGCATATGTTGTGTATCAGAAACTAGAGCTGATGTGGTCTATCCAATGCAAATTTTTGAATCAGCACCCCAAATAACCAACCAAATGTAAAGTTGTCCAAAAACTGATTCATAACCCTTTTTGTACTAATGATGGAGAGTGGTCCCTGGTCAAAGTTGTTTCTGGTCAAGTGGTCCCTGGTCAAAAAAAGGTTGGGAACCACTGGTATAAGAGGTATGTATGTAAGCAAACACAGCAATTATCGAGGATCTAGTAAGGAGATATGGATTCCAATCAAAGCCTATTTTACCAAGCTGTAATGTCAGATTTGTAAGTCCTAGGCAGTTTCTGCAACAGTACTTTCTATGGCTCAAAGGTCAGAGAAGTTCCAAACAGAAAAATCTAGCAGGTTAAACTGTACAAGTGGTTGCAACAGATACCTCAGTTAGTGCACATGAATTCTAAACTGAATACACAGAACTGCAGCTTTTGAATGTACAACTTTGTACTTAAATATTTTCTCACCTTCACGATGTCACATATTACAAAAATTGGCATCTGTAATAACACAGTAGAATATATTCCATGTACTTAGAGTAATACAAGCTTAATTTGAAACACAAGAGCCTTTATTGAGGAAGCAGTGGGCAAAACATCAACCCAGAATTCTGTTTTATTCTGTTCATACTCAATTACTCAACATGGAAAAGATTAACAGGGAAGCAAGTCTTTATTTATACAAAAACATTACAGTGCAGTAGTAGAATATTACTGTGTTAGCGTGCCAGCTGTATCCACATTAAAAAATGTTTTCCATTTCAAAAGTAGGAAAATGCTACTTTTAAACAGAGGTATTTTTTCTCATTGAGTACTTCTTTAATATATTCTATAGATTTTATATATATTCCACATATTTTTATACATATTTTGCATTCCTGAAATCATTTTAAAACTCTGTTCGAAAAGGGAAAAAAATATATTTTAGTAGTCATAGCCTATTAAGTTAATTCAAAAATGTTATAAAACTCACAATTGATGTACCTTATTTGTGCCAGCTGAATCATTTTAGATGTTCAGTCAAAAATCTACTTGTTAGCCTTAACTATAACAGACTTACTGAACCAAACTGCTGAAGAGCAATTCAACATTTTTATAAATCCCACTAATTCAGTGGATTTAATAGAAGTCCCCGGTGGCGCAACAAATTAAATCCTTGTGCAGGCAAGACTGCTGACCAAATCCGAGGAGTAGGCTGAGCTACCATCTGTCAGCTGCAGCTTCCCATGCGGGGACATGAGATAAGTCTCTCACAGGATGGTAAAACATATGGGCATTCCCTGGGCAACATCCTTGCAGACGGCCAATTCTCCCATACTAGAAGCGACTTGCTCCAGCTTAAGTTGCTCCTGACAAAATGAAAAGTGGATCTAACGTAGCTGAGATTTGTAATCATCCCACCTACAGTAGTATATTCTTTTTACTGTTTTATGATGAAGGCCTAAAACAACATTCCATCTTCCTGGATATATGGAAGCACTTCACATTCACATACTTATGCTGTCGAGCGTTTCATTCACTTAACAATTTACAACACCTGAAATCTTTGCTAAACCCCAAAAGAGGTGATAGGGAGACCCCTCTAACTTTGGGACTGTTATGAAAGAGGGGAAGTGGCCACTAGCAGTAAAGTGGGGAATCATGATTTTTGTATATAATTCAAATGCTCAACACCTTTGGTATGTTTCATCATTTCACATCCCATTTCCAGGTTCTCCACATCCTGACTCCCGAAACAATAGCAGAATTAAGCTAGACGTACCAACTTTCTCATTCAATGTAAGATAGCTATTTCTTAAATAAATGGACTGATTATATTGTGAGCAACAATTTTTGTATTTATTGAAGAGAGAAGCTTCTGAATAGAAAACTGGAGAAATATAAGATAAATGAATTCCTGGCTAATACAATCAACAATTACAGAGTGTTGCTGTGAGTTTTCCAGGCTGCCTGGCCATGTTCCAGAAGCATTCTCTCCTGACGTTTCACCCACATCTAGGGCAGGCATCCTCAGAGGTTGTGAGGAATGTTGGAAACTAGGCAAGTGAGGTTTATATAACTGTGGAATGTCTAAGGTGGGAGAAAGAACGCTTGTCTGTTTGAGGCAAGTGTGAATGTTGCAACTAGCCACCTTGATCAGAACTGAATGACCTTGCAGCTTCAAAGCCTGGCTGCTTCTAGCATATCTTCCAATTATGCTAGAGGATTCAGAAATGCCTATAGAAAACATTTTTTTTTACACAAGTAGGTGAAATCAAGGATACCAGTAGGGAAAGAATATATTTGAAGAATGGTATGCATATACGAAGGAGTACTATAGTCTTAGATGGGTCCAACATCCTATTTTTGGGAGCCCCCAGTGGCACAGCGAGTTAAACGGCTGAGTGCTGAACTTGCTGACCAAAAGGTCAGCGGTTTGAATCCAGGGAGTGGGGTGAGCTCCTGCTATTAGGCCCAGCTTCTGCCAACCTAGCAGTTAAAAAATATGCTAATGTGAGTAAATCAATAGGAACCGCTCAGGCAGGAAGGCAATGGCACTCCATGCAGTCATGCTGACCACATAACCTAGGAGGTGTCTACGGACAATGCTGGTTCTTTGGTTAGAAATGGAGATGAGCACCACCCTCCAGAGTCAGAATCAACTAGACTTAATGTCAAGGGGAAACCTTTACTTTTAACATCCTATTGTTAGTACACTTAAATTGAAAAGACTTCTTAACAAATACACAAGTCCCTTTCATTCAAGTAGTCTAATGTAGTTAAGACTAACAATTGCATTTGACCCCTAGATGAAAGATGGGACCTTCCAGATGTTGTTGGACTGCAATGATCAGAAGCCCTAGCCAGCATAACCACATGTGAAGAATGCTGAGCATTGCAACCTAGGGACAGAAAATGTATCGGAAAATATTAGGAAAGTGGTAAAAAAAAATCTGGATTTTCCAAGTGTTGGGACATCCTGATGAGAAATGATTGAGAATCTTCACAGTTTGAGACTTATTCTGTGCGGAAAAGTGCATGTGAGTTTATTGCATAGGAAACAGGATTGTCTGTGCAAAAGTGTATAATTGTTTCACTCAGATTAAGTCACAAACTGCAAATTGTATTTTAAAATCGGTAAAGTTGTCCACTACTTACAATAGGGAGAAAAGTGGGGAAATTATCTGTTCTTGCTTGTGAAAAGATTGATATTCTTATTGCAGTTCAACATATCTGAGAGCTGCTTGATTTGCACTTCTTCCCTACATTTTACTCATCTAGTTCTTAATCCTGAAGACATTCTAAAGGAAATATTTCCTATTGTCAGATTGCAACCACAGCTTTGGGAAATACCATTCCAAAGCCTTGGTTGCTAGATCACAGCCAACAAGATTATTTCAAAAGGGTCTGATTCGATCATAGCTTTTAGAGCTCATAATGAATTATGCATTTCTCTGCACCAAAAGTCAGGGAAGAACATAAAAATGTTATCTGATATATTTTAAAACACATATTTGTAAAAAATATCTTTTTTCAGAAATACAATATTTGCCTACAATCAAAATAAATCCCTTATTTATTCATTTTAATTCCTCAAACATGGAATGATTTTTGGGAGATAGTAGCTACCAAGGTTTCTGAGTATACATGGAATTGGGGCTGTGGTGGTGCAGAAGGTTAAACCGCTAAGCTGTAGAGCTTGCTGACTGGAAGGTCAGTGGTTTGAATCAGTGGACGGGGTGAACTCCCGTTGTTAGCCCCAGCTTCTGCCAACCTAGCAGTTCAAAAACATGCTAATGTGAGTAGATCAATAGGTACTGCTTCAGCAGGAAGGTAACAGCGCTTCATGCAATCATGCTGGCCACATGACCTTGTAGGTGTCTATGGACAATGCCAACTCTTCGGCTTAGAAATGGAGATGGGCACTACCCCCCAGAGTCGGACTCGACTAGACTTAATGTCAAGGAGAAACCTTTACTTTTTATATATATGGAATGAGCTAGAGACCTATCTAGATAGTATCTTACAGGCTGTGAATTTAGGAGGGGAAACAGAACCATGCATTCTATTTAAGACATATTGGCTAGCCATGATCACCTATTCCTTCTGGAAGAAAATTAGGAGCCCACCACCAGATGCAACAATGAAAGATTTCTTGTACTAGATGCAATGAAGAATCTTGAATCTAATACTGAACCCTGACATTTTAAATGCATTCAGTTTGGAATACTTCCTTTGTTATTAAGAACACAATAGTGCTTTCCTGTGGTAGAAGGCAAAAAAATATATAATTAAATTCCATTTGCAGCATTAACCTTGAGTTTCATCTGTGCCCGAACCAGAAGCAGCTGTTTCTTGTACATCAGGGGAAGCCTCTTCAGTGGGTAAATTTTCTTCTTTTTCCACTTCGGTAGATTCCGTAGTTGTTGAATTCTGTACCTGAGCTTCATCTGTAGTTATTGCTTCGGCCTCTTCTTTGGTTTCAGCTTCTTCTGCACCATCCTTTGCCTCTTCACTTGCTTCAGCAACTTCTTCATTTGCATCTGTTTCCTCATTTTCTAAGGCTTCATTTAATACAACAGAAAAATCATGAAGAACAAATGTGCAATGTGGAAAGGATTATACTGTAGTTTTGCCAATTTCATTTATTAAAGTTATTTCAGCACACCTGTTGGTTATACGCCCATTTTTTTCTTTTCAAATAGCTCACACTGTTGTCATGCCAATAGAATGAAAAGTGGCTTGAAGTAAAGAATGGCTATGAAGTACATAACGAAATAAAGTGAAACATGCCATCCCTGAACTAAAATTTGTGAATGCGTAATTCACAGGCAAAAAAAGCATTTTTTGAAAAAGCATTCTGAAAACAAACTAAGGTCACGCCGTGCTATTCTTACATACTTGAATGCAATGTGAACAAGCTACTACGTGCAGCATAGCATCCAACTATGTAGTTGCAAATTAAGCAGCAGCAAAAACAAGGTTTTCTCACTATATATGCCAGGCATGGGCAAACTTTGGCCCTCCAGGTGTTTTGGACTCCAACTCCCACAATTCCTAACAGCCAACCGGGGGGGGGGGGGGGGGGGGGGAGGTTTTTACTACGATGTAAGGAAGCAAACATGGTCCAACTTTCAAAAGATTTTGGAGTTCTGCCAACATTTCGGTTAAACCCTATCCAGTATTAGGTTCTATATCAGTGGTTCCCAACCTGTGGTCTGTAGACCACAAGTGGTCTGCAAGAAGGAAAATATGGTCTGCAGCCTCACCATAATTACACTGTTGCCTCGAAACCATGCAGCAGCGAGAGCGACTGGTCTCACGAAACCCTCTTATAGTGCCAAGGCAACAAGGATGTCAGGAAGGGAGAGACTGACTACCCACAAAATATTACTACTACCACATCAGCTCTAGATTATTAAATAAGGATTTCTGTGGGCAAGCAGATGGCAACTACGGGATGGCATATGATCTGTATCAGAAACTAGATCTGATGTGATCTATCCAATGCACTTTTCTGAATCAGCACCCAAATAACTAAACTAAATCTAAAATTGACCAAAAACTGATTCGTAACCCTTTTGGTACTAATGTTGGAAAGTGGTCTCTGATCAAAGTGGTCCCTGGTCAAAAGAAGGTTGGGAACCACTGTTCATATAAATGATAAATACAAACACTATAATATACTCGAGTATAAGCCTAGTTTTTCAGCCCTTTTTTTAGGCTGAAAAAGTCCCCCTTGGCTTATACTCAAGTCAAGGTTATTTATTATTTTACTTTGTTGTTGTTGTTGTTGTTGTAGTTGTTGTTGTTACATTTATTATTTTACTTTATTATTGTTGTTATTACGTTTATTATTTTACTCTACTTATTGTTATTATTACATTTATTATTTTTTCTATTGTGATTATTATTACATTTATTAACTTTATTTTTTATTGCTTAGATTTCTCTATTATTATTGTTATTATTCTATTTATGATTTTACTCTATTATTACTGTTATTGCTACATTTCCATTATTTTACTCTATTGTTATTATTTATGATTTTACTCTCTTTATTATTATTGGAAGGATATGTGAGCACATTTACATTGAAGAAGGTAAGAATGATGGTTTAATCAGAGTTGGAGAGTCTTATATTAAATTACAGTGTTGGGTAAATATTTAGAAACATTTAATCTACTGATACCTCAATTAATGTAATTTTATTAGTCTCTATTTTTATTTTGAAATTTATCAATAGCTGTTGCATTTCCCACCCTCGGCTTATACTCAAGTCAATCTGTTTTCCCATTTTTTTGTGGTAAAATTAGGTGCCTTGGCTTATATTCAGGTTGGCTTATACTCGAGTATATACGGGTAAGTATTTTTCCCAACCATTTGTTGCTGAAAAGTGCACCACATGTCATTTTAAAGAAATATTTAAGTCCATCAAAATATAACAACAGTATGTACCATGGCCATAAAACTAGGTGACATTTTCGAGAGGAGTTTTAAGCACAATGGATAAAAAGACAAATGAAGAAGAGAGGATAAGTATAGCATCACACAAACGTTGTTAGTTGGGAGACATCAAAATGGTGATCAAAGCTGGGAAGAAATTTGTGAAACCATCACATGCAAAGTTAAGGTACAGTATGTGAGCAAAGGAAAAGAGACACGGTCATATTGAACTATGACCCTGCACTGAAAAAAATGGTATTTAATTCTTGATATTGTTGCATGTCAATTGAATTTTCTAGTAGTAATGAATATTTCACTTGAGGTGAAAAATAATAGAGGTAATGTTTAAAATTGTTGACTTTCTTCACTTCGTACTTCAACTAACTGCTACAATTTATTAGGTAATAAGCAATCGTAATAGCAATTGCCTGTAGACCACTAAATCTGAGGCAACAATACCTGTGTCTCTCCAAATGAAATCAAAATTTCCAGAAAACTAACCTGTTCCCAAAAAAGAACAGATTGACAAGCAAGAGCTATGTTCAGTGCTTTTTATTGGACAGTCAATTACAAGTGCAAGAACTCAGAACAGCCAGTGCCTTAGAAGTGCCAAGTTACAGGATGGTCTATAACTGCAATGGGGAAAATCTCACAAATATGAAGTCCTACAATAGATGATTTTCTCAAAGTCTGGCTGTGAAGTATGCAAAGATGGACTGTCCTTCTAAAAATTATTTCATCAGGTTTGGAAAGAGATTTTCTTTGTTATTCTGAAAGGGTAAAAGCAGAGGAACAATTAGAAAGATTTGAATGCAACCTTTCCAATGCAAGAAAGAATATGACAACAAAGGAGAGGTCAGAAAAAAGGGGACAGGAAAGAGAAGGGGAGGGAAATGGGAAGAGGAATCTCATGAAATCATCCAGAAAAATGCAAAATCTAATTGTTCTGAAAATTAGACAGTCAACCATGAACCCTACATTCACATTTTTACAAATTGTTTTTACATTCAACTACAGCCACATAAAAGGCTCCTTCATATACTATACAGAAACAAAGCTAGGATTGTCATAATCCAACAGAGTTGTGGCCAATCCTAGCTCTCAAGAAGTGTATCTGAAAACCTGCATTTAAAGAATACACTTAGATCAGTATAGGATTGTGTTGTAAGTTTTCTGGGCTGTATGGCCATGTTCCAGAAGCATTCTCTCCTGATGTTTCCCCTGCATCTATGGCAGGCATCCTCTGCGGTTGTGAGGTCTGTTGGAAACTAGGAAAATGGGATTTATAATATTTGTGTATTAATGTCCTGGGTGGGAGAAAAAACTCTTGTCTGTTTGAGGTAGGTGCGAATGTTTTATTTGGCCACCTTGATTAGCATTTAATGGCCAAGTATGAAAATGAACAAAATCTGGAAGAGTATTTAAAAAAATTCTAAAATCATAATGGTAAATAAAGAACAACACTCAAAAACAGGGGCATTCCAGACAAGAAACAATCAGGGCCAGCGATTCCCCTCCCAACAAAGGATTCCCCCAGGCAGTAAGAAATCAGACCTTGAAACTGCTAGGCCATTAAATGCTAATCATGGTGGCCAATTGAAACCTATTTCAAACAGATAAGAGTTCTTTCTCCCACCTTGGACATTCTACAGATATATCAAATTTTCCTAATTTCCAATAGACCTCACAACCTCTGAGGATGCCTGCCATAGATGCAGGCAAAATATCAGGAGAGAATGCTTCTAGAACATGGCCATACAGCCCAGAAAACTCACAGCAACCCAGCGATTCTGGCCATGAAATCCTTTGACAATACATAGTATAGGATTGTACCTAATGTGTAAAGCAGCTGACAAGTAGTCTGAACAATGTCTACTTTTTATTGAAAAAGATGCAATAAAAACAATAAAGATCTATCTAGTTTTCCAAATAATCAAAATTTCAAGTTACCAGGATAAACCCAAGGCTATCTAACATTTGCATTTTCATGATGTTTCACCTTTAAGATAAATTTAAAATATGTAATCTCGATTGGGGATAGGTTATTTCTGAAAAGTAATCAGTGACCCAGGAAAGAGAAAGAAAATATCCAGTACTCTTCACATAAAAAGAAACGTGAAAAATAAACAAAGACATAAGAAAAAGCAGAAAATAGTGAAATAGTCTCCCAAGCACAAAGGTGTTACTGAATTGCAAAGTGAGAAAAAGAAAGGTAAAGGTAAATGCAAGAACATGTTCTGGTTTTTTGTTGAAAGTTTTTGCATTTATTGTATTTAAGACACAACAATAAAATTTAACAGCATATAGGAAAACAAATGTGCGTTTGTGTGCATGCACATCTTCAAGCCGACTATCTACTCTAAGGTGACCCCATGAATTTCATATATTTTTCTTATTCATGGAAGTTCCTTTCACTGAAATATAGCCTACAGCACCTCATGATTTGCTGTGGTTGCTTAGCTAAGTACTAACCAGGGCTAATTCTGCTTAGCTACCAACATCAGCCAGAATCTTATGTCTTTTAGGACATTTAAGTCACCCTTCAAATATTAATTGCACATACATTTAACGAAAATTGATGGAAGACCGATCTGAAGTGTAACTCACTGCTAGGAAGTTTACTTGTGATAGCTGCCTTAGGGAACAATTCTATGGACTTATAGTCGCATTATATCCAATAGGACTTACTTCTAAATCAGGCATGAGCCAACCTGAACCCTCCAGGTGTTTTGGACTACAACTCCCACCATTCCTAACAGCCTCAAGCCCTTTCCTTTTCCTCCTCAGCCGCTTACACAAAAGGTCCTCAAAATAAATATAAGGGATGCTGATTACGTGTTCTTGAAGCTGATCTTTATTTCCACCTGTAGTAGTTCAGCCTGCATTTGTTCCAGTGCCTGAGATTTCAGTGTCGAATGACCAAGACCCTGCAGATCCACAGGCATCTAAAAATGGGGATTTTGGGCAGGAGAGTGTTGAAGCTGAGGATTCTGGGATGGTCAAGTCTGCATTAGATGTGCCAGTACGGACAAAGAAAGAGGCCAACAGACTTATGTTACGTTTCCCAAGGGAGTCAAGGTCGGAATGTGAAAATAATGTTTTAATTGGGGATCTTTCAAAGGAAGGAATCAGATTTGTGAACAGAGACAAATGGCCAGGGAGAGGCCCCGCTCTCAAAGTTTAATTGACAAGAGGGTTCCTCCTGAGGCTTCTCAAGGGAAAAGGTATGGCTTTTTTTTACTATATATGAAGGCAACTGAGATTGGGCCTTCAGAGGAACCAACGATTGGTTTAGACAGCAATTCCTTTCTCATGTTCAAGTTTCTTGTGCCTTGGATTTATATTCATATTGATATTCCTGTAAATGTAATGCCTTGGATTTAATGCTCAAATTTTGTTCCTATATTATCACGTGTTTTGCTGTCCTGGATTATTTTGGAATCACAGACTCTTGTTACCTTTGGATTTTGTCATGGTTTTGGGCATTCCTGTTTCCTGAACTTGGTGTTTGTATTCTTGTTTGGCATATTTAAGTGACTCTTTCAATGGACAATACTCTATACTACTTTTGATCATTTTTATCTTTTTGCTGAAGCTATTTTTATTCGTCAATAAACTGCTTTGCTTATACTGAACTCTGGTGTGTGACACTGGTTCAGAGATGCTTTCAAAGACCTGGTGTGCGACACCACCTTCACCTCATTAGTAAGGAGCCTGAGGTAGTGCAATGGGTTAAACCCTTGTGTCTGCAGGATTGCTGACCAATAGGTCAGCGGTTCAAATCCAGAGAGAGCGGGTTGAGCTCCCTCTGTCAGCTCCAGCTCCCCATGGGGGACATGAGAGAAGCTTCTCACAAGGTTGATAAAACATCAGAACATTTGGGAGTCCCCTAGGCAGCATCCTTGCAGAGAGCCAACTCTCTCACACCAGAAACGACTTGCAGTTTCTCAAATCGCTTTTGAGACAGAAAAAAAATCCTCATTAGTAGCAATATGCCAGAAGAATCACGTTTAGAGCACGGCATTGAATCCAAAACTCCTTTTTCTTCTATGAAAAAGCTAATTCTACCAAAGATTGAGAAACTTTATATCAACGCAACAATCACTCAGTTAGATAAATATTCTAACCATAAATGTAATATTTGAGCACATCTTCAAATATTCAGAGGTATTCCTGTGATCGTTCTTCAAACTGGAGTGATGAATACACATCACAAATTAACACCATCCATTATTATTCACAATTATTTCATGCTTTCTAGCATGTTTATTTATTTCAAATATTAAACTATTCATTTAAAAAAAAACAGATCTTGAGTATTTCTAATTAGAAGTGGTAATACTTGTTAATAAACCCTGTGGCAAATTGTCAATTTCAGCTGCTTCCAATTAACTGTATACAGAGTTGTTGTCTTCAAATACTGACTGAATGGAATTCTATTACTATTTCTACTAAAACTAAAAGGTAAGATATGTCTGTGCTATAGCACAATGGGTATTTAAGGTAGATCCTATAGGGTCGAGCTTTAGCACAGCTGGTTAATCGCCAGCAGCAATAGATCACACTAATCAAAAGGTTGACAATTCAAAGCCCAGTTCAGGGTGAGCACTCAGTCTTCAGCCCAGCTTCTGTCCACCTAAGCAATTTGAAAACAGCTGTGCTGTGAGTAGAGAAATTAGGCACCGCTTAAACGGGGAGGTATTTTATGGCATCATGAAAAGGATGTACCAGAAAATGCCAGCAACCAGAGAAAGGAGGAAGTCTGTGATCAAGGGCTCTTCATCATTGAGAATGGAGCGACACCACACCCTGTGGCCGGAATTGAGAACAAGCTCCAGGACGCTATCTGTTGTCTGTCCTATCTATTTAATGGCATTGAATGTTTGCCGTGTATATGTTCTGTGATCCGCCCTAAGTCTCCTTCGGGGTGGGAAGGGCTGAATATAAATGCTGAAAGTAAATAAATAAATAAAATATTGCTTCCATCAGCATCAGTGGCCTCATCTGTAGCCTATTTCTCAGTTTTCTGGAGTTTTTATGGTGTGCAAAGGGCTGCAAAAAAGCAGGACTTTCAAATTCTGATGGGATCCATGTAGTCTGGTTTAGATATCTAACTGGATCCTAGTCAAGCCCATACAACTAAAGCTTTACTATTCATTTATTTGGAATTTATAACTTCAGTCATCTTTTCTTTGTGAAATCTTAATGACATCTAAAATACTGGAAAAACAGTCTACTTGTTACAACATGTCTATATATTTTTTTTCCTCTCTAAACACGATAAGCAAGGTAACAGGGAAAACGTAAGTTTACAAGACAGATAAATATCAAATCTAATGGTATTTATTAGACCTGGAAGGCACTGAATAAGAACCATTCTAGTTGGTTTTTTTTCTAAAATGCTTACAGAATTCTTCAATACTTGGTAATTTAAAGTAAAATTCAAAATCCAAATAGGCTATATATTTTCCATTTCTATGTCCATCTTTAGAGCCTAAATACCCTTAAGGCATCCAATACTGCCTGAACTTGGAAGCTAAGTAGAGTCAGTACTGGTTGGTACTTGGATGGGAGACTGCCAATGAATATCTGGTGCTGTAGGCTAGATTTGAGAGGAGAGAATGGGCAAAAACCACCTCTGGATAGTCTTTGCCTAAGAAATCACTACAAAATTCATAGGGCTGCCATAAGTCCAAAGAAGATTTGAAGGCACACGTTGCTGCTGCTATGCTTAGAAGCAGAGTTTCCTCCCAACCTTTATCCTGCTATGAAGACAAACAGCTTCAAAGTAACATTTGTAAATTTAGATATAACCAACTTACATTGAGGAGGCCAGGGTTTTGGTTTCCATTCTGCTGTAGTTCGTTGTTGAATATCTTCAATCCGCTCGTTGTATCTGGCTTTGTCAGAAGAAATGGTTCTATAGGCCTAAAAATAATTTATAAAACTTCACTCATCAAATCACACCAAGACTGAGCCATCGCAGGCATTTTAAGCTTACTGTTGTTTCTGTGCATTATCTTGCATTATTTTGAGGTGTTTGTATTCAATTTGAGGCATTGAATGTTGGCCTTTTGTTTTGCATTTGTAAACTGCCCTGGGTCCCTTTAGGGAGAAAGGGCGATCTAGAAATAAAGTGCTGTTATTATTATTATTTTAAACACAACAAGATTAGTACACAGCAAACAAGATCACTATACTGGTTGTTGCATTGGCTCACATGTCAGACACTTCTCAAGTGTCTGTTGGAAACTAGGCAAGGTTTTTTTAAATATCTGTGGAATACTCTTGTCTGTTTGAGGCAAGTGTAAATGTTGCAATTGGCCAGCTTGGTTAGCATTGAATGGACACCCTGGACATTCCACAGATATACACCCCACTTGCCAAGTTTCCAACAGACCTCACAACCTCTGAGGATGCCTGGCATAGATGTGGGCGAAATGTCAGGAGAGAATGCTTCTGGAACATGTCCGTACAGCCTGGAAAACTCACAGCAACCCAGTGATTCCAGCCATGAAAGCCTTTGACAACACAATATACTTAATGTTTCAGTATGTCCCCAAAATATATCAACCCAAATCCAAAATATGAGCAATGCTTACTAAAATTAATGATTTCAAAAATATCCAATTCTACACTGAATATAGGTCACAATGTCAGGCATAAGAAATACTGATGTATTAATTTAATATTCAGACATGTGCGTTCCTATTTTACTATCCATATGAATCACAGTTGTTTCTTACTGCCTTAAAGGTGAGATTATGGTAGCACGACACTACATTTAGTAATTTATTTGCTGTGTGCTTAAATAGATTGGAGAATCATGGTGTGCTAAGGACTCATAGAAAGTTTTATTGTAACTCATTTAACTTTTATATAGTTTGTGCTTCTGATAATATTTTAACTGCTAGTGTCATTTTCATAATAAAATAACTTACAACAGCAATAAAAGTTTCCAACACATACTGATATTCAAACATACATTCTTGAGAAATTGGCTGCATACAGTGTTTCTCCACACAATTTTTCTGAATAACACAGGCATGTATAAATCCATGATTATTAGTTTCAAAAATAACAAGCTGTTCTATTTCTGCTTATAATTAATTGATCTACTAAGTACAAGTTAAAATAGACCGGAGAATTTTTATTCCTAATTATTTCCATGGTGGTAGGTAGGAAATAATTAGAACTTGAAGCCTGCCAAGAAGTGAACAGTAAATAAAAGTGAAACAGAAGATCAAATAATTAGTGTATGCATTTTAAAAGCTTCACTTTGGCTTAAGTAGGATGTACATTTATTTATGTACTATATTTATATTCCACCTTTCTCTACCCCGAAGGGGACTCAAGGCGGCTTACAGACAGGCAACAATTCAATGCCTTAACAACAATATACAATTTAAAAAGCATTTAAATTAAAATTAGGACAAAATGGAAATACATTAAACTGTTTTAAAACATTACAATCAATATAAAACCACGCTATCTGCAATCATAATCCATGTCAATCCTATTGTCACTGCACTTAATTCCAGTGCATCTATTGCAATATAGTTCTTCTCCAAAGTCTTGATCCCAAAGCCACATTTCTACTCTCTTTCTGAAGGTCAGGAGGGAGGAGGCTGATCTAATATCACTGGGGAGGGAGTTCCACAGCCAAAGGGCCACCACTGAGAAGGTCCTGTCTCTCATTCCCACCAGTTGTGCCTGCAAAGGAGGCGGGACCAATAGCAGGGCCTCTCCAGACAATCTTAGAGATAGGGGGAGATACGCTTGGACAGGTAAGCTGGGCTAGAACCGTTTAGGGCTTTATAGCCAGCACTTTGAATTGTGCTCGGTAGCAGACTGACAACCAGTGAAGCTAATGTAACAAAGGGGTGGTATGCTCCTGTACGCCGCTCTGGTGAGCAATCTGGCTGCTGCCCATTGAACCATTTGGAGCTTCCAAACAGCCTTCAAAGACAACCCCACGTAGAGTGCATTGCAGTAGTCTATTCGGGATGTACATAAGCCTTGATCCATCACTTTACATTTGAATCAATAGGACTGCTCTTATTAGTACTACAACTAGGATCCATGTCTTGGTTTCCTTTGAAATGGATAATACTTTGGTGCAGTGGTTCCCAAACTGTGGTCCATGGACCATCAGTGGTCCCCAAGAACTAAAATATGGTCCATGGCCTCACCGTTACTACACCATTGCAATGAGAGCGACTGGTCTTGTGAAACCCTCTTATAGTGCCAAGGCAACAAGGATGTTGGGAGGGGAGAAGCTGACTACCCACGAAAGGTGTGACAACACATCTCCTGACTGCTTCTCCTCCTCCTCCCTCCCGCTGAGTGGAGTCGTTCCATGTGGCGCCTGGAAGCAGGGGCACCTGTTCCTGGGGTTATTCGGAGTGCTGATTCAGAAAATTGCATTGGATAGATGACATTATAGATTATTAAATATGGTTTTCTGTGGGTGACCAGATGGCAACTACTGGATGGCATATGTTCTGTATCAGAAACTAGAGCTGATGTTGTCTATCCAATGCAATTTTCTGAATCAGCACCCCAAATAACCAAACAGAATTTGGTTATTTGGGGTGCTGATTGGAAAGTGGTCCCTGGTCAAAAGTGGTCCCTCGTCAAAAAAACGGTTGGGAATCACTGCTTTAGTGTCTTTGGAATATCTATTTACGGCATTCATGTTTTAAATGACTGTGGTTGGGAAACAGCATCCTGCACAAGTAGCAGCGTCTGCTAAACAGCAAGTATGTTGTAACGATTAAAGCATATATGGCACTGATTTCATATATATCCTTAAGGTTATCTTCCATCACAACCAGCGATAGATACAACATTGCCTTTAGCCTGTTACTATTACTCAAAAACCACACTGTTTAAGAAGAAAAAAATTAATAAAAACTCCATTTCTGGCACAGAAGTTCCAACTTAATTAACTTGCTGACTATATAATCATTTTAATTTGGTTAAGTACAGTATTATTTCTATTCTCCACTTGAAATAAACATATGTGAAGATGTGTGAAGGTACTCACGTAAAAACCACCTGCACCAGCAGCACCAATAACCAGCAGATAGTAGATGATGTTCTCTCCAGAAGAACCAGGAACACTTCCAGACATCTGGCGGAAGGGTGCTACAAAATTGAAGTGACAATACTGAGAAACTAATGCAACAGGTTCAAAATGCTATCATTTAGACTATATCCCAATAGTATTGAAACAATCGATATAAATAAAAATGTAATGTTTGTTTGTAGGATTAACATAACTCAAAAACCACTGGACAAATTGACACCAAATTTGGACACAATACACCTATCAGGCCAACAAGTGACCATCACTCACAAAACACTGAAAAACACAGCAGAAGAGACTTAAAAAGCCAAAAAACAAATATTACAACGCACGCGCAAAACCACATATACACACAAACACACATATATACACAAATATATACACCCACATATATATATACACAGACTGGGCCTCAGCAACGCTTGGCAGGGGATGGCTAGTATTTCATAAAATAGCAAGTTCAGCAGCGCAAGAGTAAATGGTAAAATAGAATTAAACAAGAGAACAGAAGTGGTTTTAAGGGAAGGACAACCATGCATGTTACTTAACACATGCAGCTTATACAAAGCATTTAAATAACTGGTATGCAGCTGTACAGAGGGGAATAACATCTCTTTGAACAGAGTAAACCTAACCCTTTCATGGCTAACCTTTCTCAACATCCACCCACTCCTAATTTATCCTCTGCCAATTCAGTGGTTTGAATGTTAGACTAAGAGTGCATCTACACTGTATAATTATTGCAGTTTAATACCACTTTAACTTCCATGGCTTAATGTCATTGAATCGTGTATGTTGTAGTTTGGTGAGCCTCCAGCACTTTTTGGCAGAGAAGGCTAAAGGCCTTGTAAAACTACAACTCCCATCATTCTGTCATCTTGAGCCATAGCAGTTAAGTTAATGTTGAACTGCATTAATGTCATATTAAAATGGTGTGCGGATTTGAAAAATATGGATTTGATATTCGTGGGTATGGATGAAATGAATGTATGAATGAGACCTAATAATTTTGGAGACACCATTTTGGAGATCAAGACCTGCAATGACTAAACCATTAACTACCTGCTTGATGAATTGTAATGAAAACCTGCTAATGAGAATTGAAATTGTTGACCTGCCCTAGTAAACTGTGATAAGAACTGTGACAGTGATAAGAGAAATGTTTACATCTGCTTACATCTGTCAACATTTGCTGACCAGAAGTCAGATTAACTTTAAAGGAAATTATCTCTGTTTACATTAGTCAAAGACAATGTTCTTTCAAGTCAAACCTAGAATACAATGGCTCATTACCTGAAGACAAACATTTATATCAGGAGGTGAAGACTCAAAATAATTTCAAACAGACAATTATTTACAACTTTGGAACAACATCAGCAAGAAATATAAGAGACCTCCTAATATTCCAAAATTGTGACAGACAGGTGCGCTGTTCACCCACTATGCACTAGTGAAAGAGATGGTGTGCCTTTGGAAAGTTTTAGATCTGTTATGGGAAAGCAGAATTCTGGACGTTTGTTTGTTTGTTTGTTTGTTTCTAGCATTTATACCCCATTCTTCTCKCCCCCCCCCCCGGGGGGAATGGGGACTCAGGTCGGCTTACAGAAAGGCAATCATTAGATGCTGAACCTTGTCCTAACAATCAGCACTAAAACAACACTTAAATCATTAAAACAATTATAAATACACCAAAGGAAAAAAGTTAGACATTATTAAAATCACCAGGTTAAAATCATGATCTGGAAGCAGTCCATTGTCAGTTGCTTCAGTCAATCACATTCAATTGCTGTATTGTTTGAAGGCTTGATCCCAAAGCCAGGTCTTTAGTTTCCTTCAGAATACCAGGAGGGAGGGGGCAGATCTGATATCATTTGGGAGGGTGTTCCACAGCAGAGGGGCCACCACTGAGAAGGCCCGTCTCTCATTCCCACCAGTCTCGCTTGCGAGGATGGTGGAATCGTGAGCAGGGCCACCCACGATGATCTTAAAGTCCTAGATGGTTTGTAAAGGGAGATATATTCGGACAGGTAAGCTGGACCGGAACCATTTAGAGCTTTATAGGCTAAAGCCAGCACTTTGAATTGTGCTCGGAAACAGATTGGCAGCCAGTGGAGCTGATGTAACAGGGGGGTTGCCTGCTCCCTGTACTCTGCTCCACTGAGCAGTCTGGCTGCCATTCATTGGACCAGTTTAAGCTTCCAGGCAGTCTTCAGAGGCAACCCACGTAGATTGTTTTGCAGTAGTCCAAACAGGATGTAACAATAGAATGGACTGCCATGGCCAATTCCTTTTCTCACGGGAAGAGAAAGGAATGTGATTTTGGAGTCATGATATGGTTGCAGGGAGGCAGTTTCTGCTGTAGAGATATGATCCTTGGCATTGTTCTTAGGGAAAGGACATTTTTAAAGGCATTTTGGCGTTTTATAAAGTTTTGGAACTGTGTGTTGGCAGGCTTCAGGGAAAGCAGAGTCTGGCTTAAGCAGGTTCGTCTCCAGGAGATGACGGAAGGAGAAATGGTGATGTATAGATGAATGATGATGAATGTGTATGGGTAATGTGAATGTTGAGTCAAAATGTAACCCCCCTCCCCTCTGTTTGTTAGCCAATGTAACTGTAGGTTGTTTTTGGATTCAATGTAGTTACATAGAATCTGTATGTCTGTATGTCCAATGTTGTTCTTTGTGGGAAAGTGTTCCTTCTCACTCATCGCGGGGGATATATTCCAGGACCACCCGTAATAAGTGAAAATCCGCGAAGTAGGATTGTGCATGTATAAGAATTGCACATGCACAATCTAACCCTCACGCTTCCTTACGCACCTCCAGAGCCACACAGGCAGCAGCAAGCCAGAGAGGCAGGCTTTCCCTGCCGCGCTTCAGGTCGCTGGTCTGCCAGGGAAGGCCTGTAGGTTGTTGAGGTGGCATCGGGGCCTCCAGTGGGCTGTATCCCTGCCCAGAACGAGGAGGAAGAAAAAGCACATCCAATCGCAGCCCGAGCCACCGACGGAATGAGCACATCAGCCTCCCTTTCTGAGGCCCATTGTAATATAATTATTTTATATTAATATTTATTTTAAAAATCTGTGAAGCAAAGAGTCTGCATAAAGAGAACAGCAAAGTAGCGAGGGAACACTGTACTTGCAGCAGAAGGCCATGCTTGGGCTGTATTAGACATGCTGAGTAGCCATACACCATGTCAAGTCTCTTTCTCATAGAAAAGAAGATCTTTTTTCCACAAATTTTCTCTCCAGACATTGGAAAACCCAGTTTCAAACACGATAATTATTTTGGCTTTTTCCTCATTTGAATGGCATGCACTAAGAAGCAATTGCATTTGGTGCTTAATATGTTATGTTAAGGACTTATGTTTTAATTATGTGTATTGTGTTACATTTGGTTTACTTCCATTCTTTTATAATTTATTGAGTTGTTTTTATTTGTTTAGATGTTATTGTTGGCATTGAATGTTTGCCACTGTGGTTTTGTTGTAATCCACACTGAGTCCCTGGAGGGAGATAAGGCAGGCTTTAAATAAAGTTTCATTCATTCATTCATATAATCCAGTTACATCAGATAATATGGATTCAGAAACTGTATTATATGTCAGTGTAACTCCAGTCTGTGAAATATCTGGATTTGAATCCTCACTAAGGAATTGATACCCATGGGTAGCTATCCAAAGCTTGTGTGTGTGTGTGTGTGTCCCTGACTTACAAACAAATTCAACTTAAGAACAAACCTACAGAACCTATCTTGTTCATAACTTGGGGACTGTCTGTAGCCCTATAGCAAATGTTATGGGATATTTTTTAATAAAGTACACAAGGGAAGACCTATCACACAAATAAACTACTTTTACAATTGATTTAAATAGGTTTTATTTATGTTGGCTATCCCATTAATTCTGGCTACCATGACAAGCCAAATACACAAGACTTCCCATGGGAAAATAAATCCCCAGGGAAAATACTGTATACAATAAAGAAAATGGAACAAACTGGATGATCTAAAAGGGAAACATGATTTGAAGACATCTTTGCATGAAAATCTAGATATGCCTATGCAGAACCAAATCCTAATGAGTCTAATGGAGTTTGTGTTGAAGAGAACTAAGAAGGGCAACCTCCTCTGCTCCTGAGTCTCCTGCCCTATATACCCTTAAAAAGTCTGAAAGTCCTCTATAACACAGAGGACTTCAGAGAGAAGGGTCAGGGAAAGCAAGTCAGGTCTAGTCAAGAGTTTTGAAATATGAAGACTTTTACCCCAACATACTTACTTCACAACATTCTTCCCAACATACTTACTGCCTCATACTTTGAAGTCAGAACGAATAAACTATTTTAAAGTAGGTGTTAGACCAAGGTAGCAGTACTTTTTATCTAATGCTTCTATATTATTATTACTACTTGAAACACAACAAGATGAGTCCATAGCAGATAAGATCACTCTGCTGGCTGTTGTATTGGATCACATGTCGGACACTTCCCAAATGTCTAGGACTGTGTGATGTATGGGCGAATAATGCGTGCAGATCCCAGTAAGGTGGCCTTCGTCAGCTGGCAATCTTGTCAGCGCCGATTATGTTTAAATGCAGGCCCAGGTCTTTAGGCACTGCACCCAGTGTGCCGATCACCACTGGGACCACCTTTACTGGCTTGTGCCAGAGTCTTTGCTGTTCGATCTATAAATCCTCATATTATGTCAGCTTTTCCAGTTGTTTCTCTTCAATCCTGCTGTCACCTGGGATTGCAACATCAACGATCCATACTTTGTTTTTTAACATGATTTTGAGGTCAGGAGTATTGTACTCCAAAACTGTCTGTCTGAATTTGGAAGTCCTGGAGTAGATTGACGTGTTCATTTTCTGTAACTTTTTCTGGCTTGTGATCCCACCAGTTCATTGTTGCAGGCAGATGGTATTTGTGGCACAAGTTCCAATGAATCATCTGAGCAATGGTGTTATGCCTCTGCTTATAGTCTGTATGCGCAATCTTCTTGCTGAGGATGTGATCTATTGTTTCATCTGCTTCCTTGCAGAGTCTATATTTGGGATCTGTCGT